GGACTGCGATAACAGTTGTATGAGCCCCTAATAAAATGTTAAAAAAAAGAAAAGAAAAGAAAGAAAGGCTAGTTTATGTTTCTTAGAACTTAAATTGCTGACAATGTAGCTTCACTTGAACCAACATTTTTAACCAACTTAAACAAAATCGAGATTGCCTCTTCTCCCTCCTCACTCTGGCTTCAATGACCAAAAAGACAAAATACTTATTTTAAAACCCAAATAATAATCATTTAAATTCAAAATTCATAGTGTACCAAGTTCTGTTGTAGTATTTCATTCGCTCATAAAGCAACCCCCTAAAATAGAGAGAGGTTATTCCCATTGGATAGATATGTAACAGGAGGTCCAGGGCATCCCATCGCAAATGTGTGCACTGATTCACAGGTGCATGCACATGCACACACACACGCACACATGCACAAACACTCCATAGCTTGCATGAAATAGAAATGATAAGAAATACTTAAAAAGTAGATATACAATATGTTTTGGGTTTTTTTGCTTCTGGTAATATAGTAAAAACCACATTTAAATGTGTGATTTTTCTTATAATGTGTAAGATGTTGTTCTCACACCCCACTGCTTAAATATTGCATTTTCCAAGTATATAAATAGTGTCCACCTGCCCGAAAAAGACCAGATTGGCATAATATGACCTCTTTGTTTACTCTGTGAATAGGCACAGTGAGTGCCCTGCCCGCTGCTTCGTCCACAGTCTGAACCTTGTTCTGTTAGAGCCACCTGTCTGGGTGACTGGATAATTACTCCATACTCCAGTTTAGCCCCGGGGCCTTCTGATAAGATGATGGCACAGGAAGCCTTCGAGTGTGAACAATCTCCCCTCCATGATTAGGTCTGGACCACTCAGACCAGGCGTATAAGGGCTCTCGGCCACTGGTTGGGAGGGCGGATGAATTATTGGGAACTTCTTATAGGAAGGCGGTTTGGGGCAGAGAGACATTTCAATGTTGCATTCAGGTCAGATGAAGGAAGGCCTGGGCTGCTGAGTGTGGGGGTCTGCGATTATTAGTATTTTGAATGTTAAGATTATGAAGAACTGTCCTATCTCATTTCCTATCAGATAGAAAATTGCTAAAAGAGACAGCATGTAGGCCAGAGTATAACTTTTCCTCCTGATTTGCTGAAGAGGCATGACTGGAAAAATAAGCATAGTAATATTGGAAATGACACTAAGGTTGGTTCAAGATAACAAAAGAAAACTTAAAATGTCTGTGTTCGTCTGGATAGACTAGAGAAACAAAATTCATAGACGCTCATTTTATGAGAGTATTTTATATAAAGGGTAAGTGTACATTAAGAAAACATCCCTACCCAGTGCTGTCCAAGCCCATAAGTCCGACACTGATCTACAAAGTCCTCCTCAGTCTCACAAAACACACGCAATGATGTCGACTGCAGGAGGAAAGCTGAATCGGTGAGCATGTAAGCCTCTCAGCACTAGGCCTGCCTCAGGGTAGATCCAAGTGGCTTCTCCTCAGGGATGTCTCACAGGAAGTGAGCCTTACCAGCTGAGGCAGAGAACTAGCTAAGGCAGCCGCACACTGGTCTGACCATCAGAGAGCAAGAGGCAAGACAGGCAAGGCTCTCCAAGCCATTTCTCTCTCTGCCCTTCAATGAAACCACCCTTCAATTAATCCCACAAAGAACTAGCTCCCTACACAGAGAACGTTCTCTATTGTTCAATTGTTCAGATTGTTGTTGTTTTATTTTATGACCTGGGTGTGCTCCCTGCATCTGTTTAGTTTTAAATGTTTCCAAAAGGTCCATTTGTGATTTTCTAATCTCCAGTGATACTTGAAACTGCTTAAAGTGCAGTTGTTGTTGCTGTTGTTGTTGTTGTTCTTCTTCTTCTTCTTGTTCTCCCCTCCCTCCTCCTCCTCCTTCTCCTCCTAAAATCTTCACTTCGAAAATGCACACACAATTGTGAGCCTCAAGAACAGACTGGAAAAGTGATTGGAAAAGATGAGTGATGGCGGTTCTTTTGCCTGTGCACCTTGCATAGACTGTTGGGTTTCAGCTACGTGGACACCTGCCCCTCCCCCCAGAAGAATTTATTTCAGAGGACAGCACTGAATCTGCAGCTTCGGGAGAGGGACATGTCTGAGCAGAGCACATGGGAGGAAATGAAGGGGGAGGAAGAGAGAGTGGAGCACATCTTGGCCCCACAAGCCTTGAGAATGCTATTCCTGCTCAGAGCAGCCAATCCACAGAGAGGACCACATGGCTTGCCCCACTATGAGAAATGACATCCCTCACTGACCCATAGCCCTACAGGGGACA